AATATTTTTTCTTTACATTCCACCTTAAAGAGGCTCTTTCAATATTGAAGTCATTATTAAATTAAGCTAGACATTCAACCAATAATTAAAGGATTACATAAAATAAATAATACAATATTTTGTTATGGGGGAGTGTGTGGGGGGGTGAAAATGTTTGTGAAGAAAATCCAATCAGAATCAAAATTCAATCAACTGTTTTACAAATTAAGAAGATACTTTTGATTGCTTTTCTAACTGACAGAGACAAGGACATGACACAGATTATTTCTCTGCACATATTGGTTAAAAATCCAGCTGACTTTAGAGTTTGTCAATATCAGGAGAGGTAATTAACTGTTTTGAAAGAATCCGTAATGTGGGACTTTGTAATGGCATCATTTGGAGTCAAGTCACAGATGCGGCTTGTGGAGCCATACTGTAATTAGGAAGAAATGCTGTACAGGTTTTCTACTAATTAGCAAATTATGCTGAAAATAGCATCAAGCTAATTAACAGTTATTATGGCATTTTTGAAAGTATGACTTTAATTAGCAAAGTCCTGACGCAGGCAATTTCAAACTTGTCCAGAAAAACACAGGACATGATCAAGAAGATACAAAGATTATTATGATAGAACCACAAAAAAAAAGGAAAGAATAGCCATTATGGCTGCCTGAGTTTCCATTTAAATGGAAGAGCATGTGTACGGCCTGAACTCTGCCAAAAAAATCCGAGCTGGCTGCCTGATGTCAGGTGGACCTGGTGCTCGTAACAACCACCATGCAAAAACAAGCCAGAGCTCAGCTGGTGCTAGGAAGATTCACTTATTCTACTTGAATGCACATTAAAAGAGCGTCTGAATGAAGCCAAGCAACAATACGTAACCTGACAGCTAAGCTATGGTCCGCACATTGCCCATCATATGATTATGGTTGGGTCTTACTGTAATCAATGCAGGGATGTGGGCAGGAAAATAAGCAGGATTATGCTGGGAGACTTTTTTTTTTATATGCAGAGCAGTAGATGGAATTAAAACACAGAATTTTTTCAAATTTTTTTTTTTTTTTTTTTTTTACTAGCATGCGTAGTTGACAGAACAGAGTGCGTAGTTTTGAAGAAGTTGTAAAAGAAGAACAGAAGTGTGCCTAGCCTCGGGCGCTTCACTGCTCAGCCTATTAGCTATGGTGACCTTGCCTATCCCTTTGTCTTTGTATTTTCCTCCCGCTGGTTTCCTTCTTAAGAATTCTCTTTTGTTGTCTTAGAGAATGAGAAAAATGCCATCTCTCGCTCCAGCCCCCCGTAGTTTGAACTCCCGAGATCTAGCGACACACCCAGCCTGTAGCCACCTTTAGCCCTGCGTGAACTTGGCAGGAGGAGAGCCAGCCATTAAATACAGAGCATGGTCTCAAGCCGACAGAAATGCTTGCCCCTGCTTCTACCCTAGGCTGCCTTTTATTATTGCCTGTCCTTCATACTGAGGAAGAGAGCCTTGTAGCCAAGTTTTGACAATGCCACATATGGGCCTTCTCCATCAATCTGACTAATCAACCATCAAAAGAGAAGCAAAGCCAACTTAATTGCCAGCGAGATATCACTGGTCTCACTTGATACAACTTGAAATTGATATAACTCTGGGAAAGGAGCCTTAGCTGATGCTGAATGGAGATAGAAATATAACACTGATCACTAGTTTGATGAATTGATAAGCTACAACACACATTTGACTTCAGTCAACCATTTCGTAAAAAAAAAAAAAAAAAAAAAAAAAATGACAAAAGAGATATACTTTGTATTGCTGTTCTCTGTTGGTGTTCATCTTTAGATTGAACAGTTGGTAAATGATGTAATATTGACCACATAAATGCAGATCTTTTTTGTACAGAAGACTGTGAAGTGGTTCTTCTTCTCTTTTTGATGTGCACAATTTATGCGAAACAATTTTATATTTCAATGGCAATTTTAGCATTCCAATTTTTTCTCATCATTGTGTTATACCAGGACACTACTCTATTATCATAAGCAATTGACCTGTTAAAAAGATTGTTTGCCTCTGTTTGGAGTACACTTGGCCACAGACACCTCATCAACTGAAAGAGAACTGTTCATCGTTTTCTGTTTCAACCACCAGTCCAGAAAATTCACCCTATTTTTTCCTCGATTTTAGTAATGCTGATGTCCCAAGGTGCAGGCAATGAAAAAAAAAACACTTTTTTTTATAGGGTAATGCAGGTATTTGACAGAAGGTTGAGGTTGAAATATCATAAACTTCTGATATTTGCGCCTATTGCCTTTTGCAAGTTGGCCTAAATATGTCTCCTAGAATCAATCGCAAATATCTGGCTATGTCTTGTGTAAAACAGACTTAATTATGTATGAAATGGTAAAATAAAATAAAACATGCTAAAATTAGTAAGGGGGCAAAGTCACATTTGTGCGATAAAGCTTGAAAAATGTTGAGCACATCACGGCTTGTCTCCAGCTCCTGCCCCCGCTGTGCCTCCTTTAAAGTCCTGACTGACAGGTGACATTCTCCTATTTATTATCAAGAACTACAAGTTTTGATGTTATCGTAGTAGAAAAACAGCCCAAATGTCAAAGTCTGAATATTTTCTGCCCCCTTTTGTAAACGACATCTTACTTGTCCAAAGCAGCCTTTACAGGTTACACAGGTATTTTAACAGATATCATATCACATATATTTTTTTTCATCATGCGTGCTCCCTCCACCAATCCCACATAAAAAAAAAAAATATATTCCATTTCATGGCCTTTTTATTAGGAAGCGATTTCACAGAATTCTGTTATAAATGACTAAAACTGTAGATGCTGAGCAGAAAGGAATGCCCGACTGACCTGATGCTGTATTAAATTTTCATATGAAAAGAGGACTTTACATATCCAGCCAAAAGGGCAAATCTCTGAGCTCCTGTTGGGCTCTCAGAGACAAGCATTTTCTAGCTCTGCATGCATAAAATGAGCTACAGTAGGTGTCAGTAATTAAACTATCATGTTTCAAAGTCTTGACAACAGTACAGAAGCAAGAGAACAAGACGATAATTTCATTAGTCTGAAGAGCTAAGTCATAATTAGGTGCCTTTCACAGAGTAAAAGTCGCGGACAAAAGGTAGTGATTCTAGCAGTCCCATTCTGCAGCGTGGGGATGAAATCTTATCCAAACTCTGAGCTTGCAAGGTTAACAATTGGGCAAAAAGGGTAAGAGCGAAAGAGCTACAAAGTCTGTTTTTCGAACAATCACTCTTTCTTTGCGGAGGCTGAGAAAGGAAATGATGTAGAAAAGGAGTATAAAGGATTAAAAAAATTCAATAACAATTGAAAATCGGTATACCATTGTTCTAGTGTAACCTGAATTCATCCCCTTGTTCTTTGAAATGATAGCTCCTACCCCTAAGGCGATATACACCATTCCTATTTTTAAGTAATGCTTACAATCGTTAAGGTGGGGGGGAGAGAGAGGCCATGATTTGTAGACATACCCCTATCAAAGTCATTAACGAACATCGTAAAACGACTTAGGGTGTAGTAATGTTTACTTAGGACTCTAAGGATTGGGATGGGCACTTGATCGAATCATTAATGTGTGGTTTAATGTTTATGTCAGTATATTCATCTCTGTCTTGACTTGCCGAGGTATTTGCATATTTAATTGATCAATATGCTCCGAGTTCCTCTTGCACATCTGCCAAGCTGGTCCTGTCTCCTTACAAGGCTCATTTCTCAAAGTGACAGCTTGCTGCCTGCTGTACTCCTACACAGTCCTCATCTGTAGCCTCTATGGAGGACAGGAAACATCTCCAGCCTCCAAATTTCTCTTTTCTAGAACTGTTAATGGCCTATCCTATAACATGTAGCATTGAGATGAACAAAAAAAGTCCTTTAAAATGGAGAAAAAGCAGTTATTCAGACAGATTTTCCACATGGCTAAACGTCACACTGTAAGAAGCAACATGTGTGTTATTGTTTCACATTTAGCATCTGTCAATGTCGCAGCTCCTGCTTCCCAACAGCCTTGAATCAGGGTCCCTTATCAGCAGCGCGTCAGAAATGCACACAGCCCTCTCCTGCTTGCTTAATCTTTTATTAAGAGCTACATTGTGAGCTCCACTGATAGCAAATGGCTCCCTTCTTCATCATTCATAAATCCAAAGTCAGCATCAATAAAATCACCACTTGACGGAAACCGCAAGCAAGATGGATATCTGCCAATAAGTATACCTTGCACCTCCTAAATAATTCATTGGCATAGATGCCAGCATTGTCTTGCAAAACATTTTGACAGAGATACTAGCTGCATTCAAATCTTCGGGTGAGGTATGCCGTTTGAAAGGCTGCTTGCATGAAAATAAAATAACAATAAATTGAATCACTTTATTAAACAGCAGCCCCATAGCGCACATTCCGTAAAGTGCCAGTTGTGTGTCATACATCTACACTAGTCATTTTAAAGAGGTTCTCCACACACACATAAATATTGTTAATTTCTTGTGCACGTACACAAATGCACATTATAATGGCTTGGTTAGTCTTCTTTTTCTCAAAAACCAGGGCCCTCCTTTCCCTCTTGTATTGAACTGTATTGTTGCTGTACTGTCTCCCGTTATATTGTAAAGCGCTGAGCAAACTGTTGGCGCTATATAAATCCTGTATAATAATAATAACTAATTCTACCAGCGCAAGAGTACTGGTTAGTTTGTATTTTTTTATTCCTGAAAGGAAGTCTCAATCCTTTATTACAATATTACTTTTTTTATTGCCGGCCAGAACATGAACAGTTCTTTAATGCAAACGGCTTGCTTTCCTACTTTATCCCTGGCCTCTTATGAGGTATATGGTAACTGGATTGTCAATCAGTAGACTGAAGGTAGTTTGAAAGCAAGGTATCTAGCAACCAGCCCTTGCGAATGATGTAACAGAAGGGAAGTTTATTCAGGCTAACTTTATATTCCATGTTCAATCTTGTAGCTAGTGTACTTAGGTCATTGGGATGATAGAAATTGGTTGGCAAAATTATTTTCCAATTCAGGATAAACATTGTTCTTAATATTTCCATACATGTCTCGCTCTTTTAAAAACAGCAATATGGCCATATAAATATGTACAAATAGAACAGATCTGTGCATGCTGTACTACAAGAAAAGGCAACGTTGGCACTCCACCTGTGATGAAACTACAAATCCCATCATGCTTCTGCATGTGGGAGTCATGCCTCTGACTGTCAGTCTTGCAACATATCGTGGGAGTTTTAATTTTTACCACAGTCTAGGCACCGAGGTGTCCTACCCCCCTCCCGCCCCACTGTATCATTAGGGAGGCTTACTAGGGTCATTGTAAGATTTCCGTAGTAATGGTATGAACCAGGGGCAGACTGACAACTCATGGGGCCCCCGGGCATTAGGGGATCATGGGGCCCCTGTGTCCTCACCCACACCCAAAAAAAGTCTATGAAAAGTACCAGGGGCATCTCATGGGGCCCCCTACTGACCCCGGGCCCTCGGACAGTGCCCGAGTTCCCAAATGGTCAGTCCGCCCCTGGTATGAACACAGCAGTATATGAGCACAATTTGAATGTAATGTTGAGAAACAAAAAAATCTTGAAAGTGGTGTTCCAATTTAGTTGGAAATGTAACCTCTGCTCAAGACAGATCTTCACCCTATAAAACTTGATCCCTCCACTCCAACCCTCCTCCAGTCTTCTACATGTATAAAGAGGTTTTTTTTTCCCTTTATTCACTTTTTTTTTTTAAATGTCATTCGCCTTGCACTGTTGCTCCCTTTGCCTCCTTGGATATGCTTGTCACATATCCCAGGAGGCATAGCCTTTCAATGAGGAAAGGAGGAGGGGTGGTCCTATTGGCTCCTCACTGGAAGGCATGCTGGCTGAACCCAGAATATCTAGCAGCCTGTTGATGATGTGACAGCCAAACATGGCGGCGAGGAACCAAGTACTGCCAAAAGTTAAGAGGTTCTCACCTGGACAGCGCTGGTTACGCTGGCTGGGTGAGTATCTGAAATGGGCTAAACACACCGCCAGGTAAGCAGGGGTTGTTAATAAAAAAAATATGGGGGGTGGGGAGTAAAACTTCGCTTTAGGTGGTACAACCCTTTCAGTTTTGCCTTCTTTGTTGTTGTTCCTACTTTTGAACAGTTTCAGTCTCAGCTTGAAATAAATATGTGGAAGTCTGTTTTTGGAGTACATATGGATAGGCAGACTGTTGAGTCCCATCTCTGGCAATTCAGCAGCCATTCTTCTTGGACACAAGTACACCTAGACACATCAACAATCTGTTTATTTGGGAAGGAAATCATTATGTAATCAGCGCCTGCGATTATCAATCGTTTATAAATTTTGCCTAAGCTCTTCCATTCAACAGTTGGCTGGGTTTTTTTTTTTTTTTCACTTTCCTTCCCTTTGATTGATGTTTCCCTGCGAGCTGTCATTAGTTAAATTAATTTGCCTTCAAAAGACAGCAGAATAGGGTCCACAAAGACAAATCTTAGGAGACCATAAAAATAGACCATAATTTAGAAAAAACTCCAGCGTGTTCTCTTCTCCTGTCATCATGGTAGAAAAACACTTTAATTTGATACAAATTTCTCAGGAGAAACTTTAAATTAACTTAGATTTTACTCTGTTTGAGGGATGGCAAGTGAAAGTTAACAAATAAAAAAGGAACCGTTTGCTGATTCTGCAGTTTCTGGGCTGCTGCTTTTATCAGTTCTTTTTATTTTCACTCAGGCTAAATAAATGCCAATATTCACCTCTAAAGAGTCATCATAAAGTCATTCCTTGGGGATATAAAAAATATCCTCCTCTCATCTTCCATCCAAACAGTGTCGCACAAAGTTAAAAGACTTAGTAAGAGTGATAAAAAAACACCTCTGCTTATGTGATTTACCTCTTCTAGACTAGGCAAGATGGATTTTCTCATAATTAGATAGAATATGTTTATATTTAAAGTCAAAACGCCATCTTTTTTGCATGTGATATTTTAAGTCAGAACAACAAAACATTCAACCATCTGAAGCATATATATTACACACCCTGTCCTATATAAACAGATATAAAGCTACTGAAAGTACCATGGTCAAATTATGCTTATTACCAGGCAGTTTATATATAAACGCAAAAAAAGAAGTATAAAACACCATAACTTTTCACTCCAGGGTTTTGCACCAGTGGCATGGAAGTAAATAGGGGCAATAAGGACAAGTGCTTTGCTAGTGGGAACCATTCATATGAGCCAAGGGGGGCAACTCCAATGAGCAGACCCTTGACTGCCCTAGTGAAGGAGTGTGAGGGGAACTTCATACATCTTGATCTTAAAGGGGGACCAATGTGTAAGTGCAGTTTTAAGACCAACTGTTATATATAATGTATGTCCCCCTGTGTGTATACAGGTCTCTTGTGACAGCAAGGAAACCATGAATAAACTGGACATACGGAAATTTTTTCAAAGCCTCTTTAGATAGGAAGAAATAAAAATCAGTAATGATTGCCTTTTA